CCCCTGAGGGGATCTTCGCCTCCAACGCGCTGAGAATCGTCGTGGCGCTGCGTGCGTGCGTGCGTGTGCGTCTCAGGCGCTCGAGTACTGTCATTCGCTGGGCATTGTCCACAGCGACGTGAAGCGTGACAACATGCTCTGGGATGACCAGCACAACCAAGGCACCCTCATCGACTTTGGCTTCTCCAAGGACAGACACTCACCCGCGGTACCCCTCTCCCCCCCCTCCACCCAAATCAGCTCCCTCCCTCCCTCCGTTTCGTATTTCGTTTTTCGTATTTGTTCCACATGTTCACCAACAAGCGGCGCAGCTACTGCGAGAGTCGTTTCATGGGACCAAGGACTACATGCCGCCCGAACACAAGAACTCGCCCGCCGGTGACATGTGGAGCGCGGGCATCCTCCTCAGCAAACTGGTGTGTGTGTGTGTGCGTGCGTGCGTGCGTGTGTGTGTGTGCGTGTGTGTGTGTGTGCGTGCGTGTGTGCGTGCCCCTTTCTCTCTAACACGAGGAGACCACCAGATCCACAGCAGCAGAAGCAGCGGCAGCCACGATGCCTGGCGCACGTGTCCGTCCCTGGCCACCGCACCGCCGACTGGCACTCTGGCCCACACAAGGTGCGTTTCCCCCCCCCTCCCCAGCCCGCAGGGTGACGAGGACAGGGGTAGAGTTTTGCTGCAACGCGTGTCGCCGTGTGCCGTGTGCGTTCGCAGAGAGGGCGAGGAAGGTCTGCAAGTGAACTGCAGTGCACTGGCCTTCGTGGGTGAGGAGGAGCACGCATGCTTCAACGAGGCCGCGCACCGGCTGTTGCGGTCTCTGCTGGCGCAAGACCCACGCGATCGCCCGTCAGCCAGCCAAGTCCTCCAACATGACTGGTTCAAGTTGCTCGCTTCTGAGAGCCACACCGACGCGCAAGAGCTGGGCCACGCCACATCGCCCCTCGACCGGAGCAGTGTCGCACTCAGCTTCTCCACCACCTCGGGCGTCGGACGGGGGACATAGTAGATGAGAAGCGCTGTGTGGTGCGATTGAGCCGGCTACAAGATGGGAATGCAGATGGGAGTGTGCGGGCGAATGAACGAGTGAATCGAGTGCTCCTCATCAAATAAGGAGTGCGTGGAAGAGGCTCCTCCTGTCGTTTGAGTGCGTGACGAGCTTTGCTACGCACCAGTACCACTTTCACTAGAAGTTGTAGATGCCAGTTGCTCTTGTGGGTCCATGGCTTACTTGGTGGGTGTACTTTGCCCCCCCCCTCTCGGGAAGAACTTCGGGTTCTTGACATCTTTTCATTCATTGAATGAGCAGTTGCGCATCGAGGGAGGGAAGTAGAGGATGAGAAGATGGACTATTTACTGGTGCTTGGTGATGCCCTCAGCGATCTTGGCCTCGCTGGCGCCGACCACCTCGTGCACCTTGCTGCCGTTCTTGAAGAAGAGGAAGGTGGGCATGGCGCTCACGGAAAGCTCAGCGGCGAGATCGCCGACCTCATCCACGTCGACCTTGAGGAACACCACGTTGGTGTTCTCCTGGCTCATCTTCTCGATGGCGGGCGCGATGCGCTTGCACGGGCCGCACCACGTGGCAAAGAAGTCCACCACGACCTACATTGTGCAACATCACGAAGCGATTAGAACGCTGTTCTTCTCCCACGGCCAGTATCACGGGAGAGGAGTAATCTCATACCAGCTTGCTGCCGGCGTTGGCGAGCTCAGTGTTGAATTCGTCCTTGCTGGTGACCTGCTTGACCATCTTGATTGATTTA